CCACCACTGGGGAGGCGGGGGCAGGGGGATCTCTGTGAGGTCAAGACCAGCCTGGTCTCCAGATCGAGCGCCAGGATAGGCTCCAAAGCTACATAGAGAATCCCTGTCTCGAACCGCCCCCCCAGAAAAACCAAACAAACAAACAAAGGAATAGAGTGCCAATGCTCCAAGCCCACTTTCCAACCTGTGGATGCTTCCTGATCCCTAAATGACTCTCTTTGTCCCAACAAGCCCAAGAAAAACACTATTTCTGCTACCTCCAGCTGTGTTGCTGCTTGTTTTTGGTTTTGTTTTTTTTTTTTGGAGACAGGCCGTTGTGTAGCCAAGGTTGGCCTTGAACTTGAGATGTAACTGAAAATGACCTTGAAATTCCAGGCCTGCGTTCATTTCCCAGATGTTGGGGCTCTAAGCGTGTGTCACCACAACCTATGTATTCAGTGCTGGGGGTGAACCTAGAGCCTCCTGCAAGCTAGGCAAGCATTCTACCTGCCTAGCACCCGCTCTGTAGACCAGGCTGGTCTCGAACTCATAGAGGTCCGCCTGCCTCTGCCTCCCGGGTGCTGGGATTAAAGGCATGCGCCACCAAGGCCTGGTGACCTGCATTTTGTTTAGGGCAGGTCTCACTAAGTACCCAAGGCTAGCTTCCGCTCATGGTGATCCTTTTGCCTTAGTCTCAACCACCTGCATTTGATAAGAGAGGAAACTGAGGCACTCAGGGTTGTAAGAAACCAGAAGTTCCTCAACTCGGTACTTGGAGAAAGCGAGGTTCCTGGGCAACCAAACTGACCCCCAAAAGTCAATGCTATCTGTTACATTTGTTTTGCTTCTGAAACAAAGTCCTACCACATAGCCCAGGCTGGCCTCAAATTCACAACCCTCCCTCCCAGTGTTAGGATTACAGATTTTGGCCACCATGCCTGGTTTCCACTTTCCACTGTGGAGCTGTGATCCCGGAAGAACCAGAGCCATGAAGGGACACCCAATGATAAACAGCAAAAAGGGAAGGGGACAACCCCAAAGAAAAGCCCTACTCCCTGGGAAGGATACTGGCCACGATGAGGATTGTGGAGATGACACAGAAACTCAGGCGGAGAAGCTTAACCCAGCGAGGCCCTGGTTGGGGCAGGCCCTTAATCCAGGACAGAAGGAACTGGAGCCAGAAGTACAGGTTGCCCAGGATGAAGGCCAGAAAGGCCCCTGCCATGTGTGCCCCCTTCTGGTTCTTCTCCTGGGGGAAGGAGGAGAATTGAAAATAAAATTATGGGGGTGGGGAAACGATAGGAAGTAGAGACTTTGAACCAGTCCAAGAGATGTAATTGAAAACCCAAAACCCAGGGACGGTAAGACGGCTGGGCTGGTAAATGCTTTCAGGTTACCTATACAGAGGAAGAAAAGAAGTAACTCCTAAAATTTGCCCTTTGGCCTCCAACACACACACACACACACACACACACACACACACACACCATTTCCTTGCCTAGTGATAGAGTTCTCATAACCTATAATAGGCTCATGCCCTTGTCTGTCTGAAAAAACAACAAAACAAAGTTCAACTTATTTTGTGGGAAGAAACGGAGCATATGTGGAGGTCACAGAACAAGGTGCAAGGGTTAGTTCTTTCCTATTCTATGAGTCCAGAGGCTCAAACTCACTCTGC